TTGCCATGTGCCCCACTGTATGGCTGACGCCTCTCCTCTCTGCCCTCCCTGCACGTAATACTACACACTCTACGAAAACACTCTCTGTTCTCTGCTCTCTGCTCTCTCTCTCTCTCTCTCTGAGAGTCCCCTCCTTAGGGGGAATGGGAACTTTCTTAGTTGCCGCTTATAGCTTTTTAATTACAAATAGAAATTGTTAACATTTTTGTTTGCGTTTACCGAACTAATTGGATGAGGTGATGCCACTGCATACCTGATCATTATTGCCACCATTTCCCTGTGTGTTCAAGGGCTGCCAAAAGGAGTCCCGATACCGATATACGACTCCCCCTCCGCCGTTAGTCTACCGTCGTGGTAATCCCCTGGGTCATTAAGGCGTCTACGTGTCTGCAACGTTAGGAGCAGCCACATCATCCTGATGCCAGAATGCCTTCCTACTTTCCCGTCCAGGACATTGTCGCCTGCCGATTGTCGCATGTTTTATTCAGCTACAGCGACATCGTTCTCCTCATCGCTCTCATCAGGTTGTAAATATTGAACAACCAGAATACACTAACAACGGCAACAACAAACTGAATACTGAATACTGAATACAGAACACAGAACACAGAGAACACAGGATAAAGGACACAGAATATGTTTCTCGTAATGCCGGAAGCTGAAATGGCTCTCATATTTTAAGATGTTGCATTTTTGATCTGACGCGACAGTGTTTTTTATTGCCCAAGACAGGGACAGCAGCAGCCCCAGCCAAACGGAAAGGCAGACGGGATTCGAGTCAAAGACAGAGGACACCTTAATTGTTTCCCACTCTCGCTGCTAGATTGACGTGGGTTTTCCACAGGCTGAGTGGATTCTAGTGGGTTTCAGGGGGAGATAGAAAATGCTGCAAATGCAAGCGATTCATGAGACGTGAGCCCTCCTAGCTTGCCTGGCCTGACATTGAGATGCGAGCAGATAGATTGGAGAACTAGAGATGGAGACAGAAAAGGGTTCGAGTTGAGTTCAAGGAAAGTTGAGCTTAACGAAGCTAAACATTTTGTCATTTTATTGATAAGTAACTTGGTATCCGTAAGATATGGAAAAAAACACAAACTTCCATGGCCCTGAGTATGATTGATAAAAAAGTTTCGCATTACAAATGCGCGATGAAAACTTTCGACAGTTGCCAACTTCCGTGGGTGGCAGAAATGTCACAAGAAAGTCGCATAGTATTTATTATCCCCCAATATTCTACTCTTGGGGGACACTTGACAGTTCTGTAAAAGTCAAAGCTATAACAAGAATTTAATACTGACTCTAATTAAAAGAAAGAAAACATTCATAACGTGCTAAAATATTACCTTTAGCAGCTCCTTTAAACCTTACCCCAAAAATCCATCAACTTCCATTTTTTGTATCGACTTTTCCCTTTGGTTCTTCTTTTTTATTTTTGCTTGAATATATTTACGTCTGAGAGTAGTTCATTAGGACACTGCAATGTTGTTGACAACATTTCGAGGGTTGAATACGGCCATAAAGACGAGAAACTATATAATGCGACGCTCTCTGCCCACAAGAAACTAAGGAACAAGAACGGACCGACACAGCGAACATGGGGGATCATCGGCTTGGGGTTGGAAAGTAGACGGCAAATATTCATAATAGGCCTGCCATGACGTCATGGCCCCAGCAATATGATTGCAATTTATTGATAGATACTTGTACAAGAAGACATCAATCAATTTTTTACATTTCCCCTGTCCCCTTATCTGTATATCAATATTTTGTTGAAAGACAACCTGATAACGAAGACGTTTTAGCCATTTGCTGGGCCAACTTCAAACGCACAAGTGCCTGTTCTGACTCTGCCTCTGGCTCTGGCTCTGGCTGTGGCTTACCTTCTCCTCCTTGTGGGGCACACTCTTGATTAATGCCCTCGCCGTCAGGCCAAACACCTCGAGTGCCTATCGAGAGGGCCCCTTGGAAGCGAGGAGGGCAGGTGAGCAGCACTCGTAAAACTCAAAAGCCACATCCGCACCGCCATATTAAATTCTGCAATCCAACTTCGTTTTTCGAGCAAACAACGAGAAAACAACGGCAACAACAACAACAAGAGTAGCAGCAGCAACAGCAGCAACAACAAAGAAAAACTGTCTATAAATACTGTTAAATGAGTGAGGAGTCCTGCCTGCGTCCTGTGTCTGTGCATGTGTGAGTGTACGGACTGGACGGATGTACACTGCGGAAAAATGAAAGCTTAAAAGTGATTCGAATAATCCACAGGTATCTACTTAATGGTGGAAATAGGTAAACATATCATGGAAGTGAAGAGTGGAACATCCGTTCCTTAATTATTCCATCAGATTCCCGTAAAAACAATAATATTCAATAATTTCAATACACAATCGAAACATTTGAACCTTCATAATTATGATCAATGAATGTATAGATTTTCTTGCAGTGTAGCTGCGGTTGCTTGTGGTTCCCCCCGTTTGAAATAATTGTGGGTGTGCGTTTATGTGTTTGTGTGTGTGTGTATAAACCTGGACGTACGGCTGGATGGTTCGGTTCGGTGTGTTTCATGTTGCTTCCTAGTTGTTTTTGGTTGAAAATCGATATGTACACACAAAAAATCCATAAAAACGAAAGAGTAGCCAACAAAGGGAACAGGAACAAAGATATACACATAGATGGAATAAGGGAATAGGGATAAAGAATATGTATTACTCGACATACCGACTATTTCCGTTTGGGTGTAAGTTATCAGAAGGCATTCGGCCTTATACAAATCACTTCCGGGATGGATGAAACGTTCACGTTGTTGCACCCACACAAACACACACGAACGGGGAATGCCACGAGACACTGACACAACTGCACGGGGGCTACACACACACACTCACACTCAGTGGCGTATGCGGGAGAAAGATGTTGAATGAAGAAGAGAGGAGAGCCGTGCCGAGAGCCTGTGCAACCTTTGCTTTGCCTTCGCCTTTGTAGCTTCTTTTTTTCGCCTATTTCTTTTGTCGAGGCAGCTGCTGGACACTGTGCACTGTGCACCGTGCAACCTTTGTGGTTGCCGCCGCTCCCCGGATAATTATATAATTTTGTTTCACTTAATGCACTTTACGATTTGGACGCAATTGGCGCACATTTGTCGCATGATTTGCATAAACATTTTACTGATTTTTCCCCTGCACACACGCACACACGCACACACGTTCACATATGTACACCAATACGCGCGCAGTCCGTGACGTACGCACACGCACACAGAGCCACACAGACACACACGAGAGGCATTTACAATAGAACTTTCTGCTTATTATATTCCGGGGCTGCTCATTCGCGTTGCCGTTTACAGTTGGACTTGCTTGGGACTAGTATAAGCACTATTTTAACTGATTTTCGTCCGCTCTCTTTTTGGCCAAGAGCCCACACGGCAAACGGCGTCAATAAAACTGTGCGCCGTCACCGTCAAAGCTTGGAAAAACGCCGCGCTCTTCCGTGGCCTTACTTGGATGGATTCCACCCTCTCTCTCAGCGCCACCCACTGTCTCTCTCTCTTTAACTCTCTGTTGCTCTCGCTTACTGTCATTCTCTCAGCGCCCCAAACATGCTCAGACGTGTCCAAACGAGTCGTACCCTACCATACACGATTTGTAAACAAATCGCAAATTTAAATAAAGCTATCCAATGCGGAGGATCAAATTAGCGGAAATGTAATCATTAGTAAATTTGTGATTGAAGAAGGGCTTGAGCAGCTCATTACAATAACTTGATTCCGCTAAAAATGGAAACCCAAACATTACGTTTTGGAATATATTTGTAACAGTTATTCTCTTACAATTACCCTACTTCTAACACCCTATGCTGCTGTAATCCTCTTGATATTCAAGCAACAATGGTTTTAACATTGAAAAAGCACGCGAAAATACAGAGAGAGCGATAGAGAGAGAGAGAGCAAGAGTAGACAGGGTTCCTGTCGCAAAAAAACACCCCAAAACACGACACGGTTTTGGACATGTTTGGCGCATGCGTTAGCTTTTGGGTTGATGTCTTGGCTAAATATATGGTGAATAAAATTTGAAAGCATTCTAAGAACAAGCAAATACAAAAAGAAAACGAACCAAAATGATGAAATTTTAAAGAATACATATTAAGGGAATTTATTTATTGGCTCTCGAATATAGAAAATAAAATAAATATAAGTATATATGTTTTTCTTATATTTGAGATATTTTCATCATAAATTAAGCAGCAACCCGAAATAAACCTAGAAGATAAAACGTCAAACAAAGATCAGGCTCATCAGCGCATTCAACAGATGGACTCGTGTTCCTCCAACTGACAGATTTACTGATCGAAAACTAATCCCCCGTAAAAGTAAAGAATAGAACGCGCAGATATAAAATGAGACGGAAAGAAAGACTAAAGAAACTAAATAAATAACATGTGATATTCCGCCTTTGATTGACGACTGTTTATGATTAAACTAGATAGAGTGACAGAGCATGTCCCGAAATCGAAAGCCCTGAAGAAAGCCACATAAACACTCGAAAAATATTCAATCTATCACTTTATTCAACGTTTTACGTTAATATTTTCATGGTTGTTGTTTAATAGTACAGTTTCTACTGTTATTGTAGCCATACTTTTATGGGTGGGTGTGTGTGTTTTTGTTGTATGGGGATAGGTTGTTCGAAATTTGAACATTTAAACAATTAAACATAATAATAATAGACGTCACACGCTAGAAATAACATTATGGGCATAAACTTAGGCTTATTGTACATATTTTTATTTTTTTATGTTTATATATTTAGTCGTAGATTATAGTATAGTTTAATGTATGTATGTAGATGTATCGTACTGTTAGTTATCATTGCTTGAGCACGGCACTTTAAACACTTAGTTTCCAGTATAAATAATGAATGTTCTTGCCATCGCAAAATTATAACAAATTTTCAACAGAAAACAACAAAAATTTCATGAAATTAACGACAATTTATTTCTTCTTTTAGAAATCATTAAAGTACTGCAAATCTCTTTGGTCTACTGCCTTGGCCGGCTTCCAATCCTGCTCGGGATAATCATCAAAATTTTTCGTATCCCCATCATGATGTACATCGGGCAAAATTGGTGGCTAATAAACGAGACAAATTCAAGGGTAAATAATTATTATTTTGATTTATATTTCTTTTAAATGATTGAGTATTTATGGGCTTGTAAATTGGTACTAAAGGGGTGAATAAATATTCCACTATGCCCCCACATCTGTTATCCTTATATGGGTTTCTTGGCAGTGAAAAATCTCCCGGTAATGTGCAAAAATCTGCACATTTGTAAAAGTCAATTCTGACGCATCTCACAGTGTCTCTCGCCTGGCTGGAGGCGTACATTTGGGCAATTAACGCCTTCTTATGGCCCCCTTTTGTTACATTTCGCTCGCACTCACTCGCCTTTGGAGATTTTTTTGTTGCAAATGAATCGGTAGATTTATGGGGGCCAACACCCACCCACCCAAGCAGCCAGCCAGCCAGCTAGCCAGCCGAAATAGACGCTGCGGTCATTAACTAAAGGCATAGCTAATTTTCAAAACTGATTTGTTTATTTGCTTTTAATTACGAAAATGTATAAAAATACATTCGCCAATTCAGATAGCCCTCTCCTCAAACAAAATGTGCCAAGCGTGTGTCGCGAAAAAGAACATAAAATTTTTTTTATAATAATTAGGAAAGTAAAGACCAAGGGGGGATGTACTATACGAAGAGATTCCCTGCGAACAGAACTCACCTTTAGTTTCTTGTTGTAGACGTCATTCCAATTCAAGTGCTTGAACCAGCGATGCCTCTTCACGTCATCGGCACCGTTCTGGGGGAGAGCCAAGAAGATGATCCGGGGAAAGCATGGAAAGAAAAAAACAAATATTAGACGTAAATAACGTTTTGCATTTTCTTAGCTCGTGTTGCGAAACGCGCGACAAATCTATTAAGCAAAAACCAACAACAACAACAGCAAATAGGAAAACAGAACAGAGTGGAAGGAAACAAACTCGAGGAAAAATGGGGAAAAATGATTTCGACAGAATTTATTTAGCTAACTGACAACGAACATGTGCAGATCTATCTGCGATCTGCTCTATGCGATGTCCAACAATTAATGGTTGATATATGCATTGCATTTTTTAATGCCAGCCAGCAACAAAGTCAGTTCCCCTGCCCTGCCCTGCCGTGATCATCCAAAAGAAAGTGACAAGTGTAAACAACAAATTCTCTATCTATACATATCGAATTTAATAAACCAGAAAATTTGAACAATTCTGTTGCCAAAATATGTTGAATCCGAAGAGGGATGCAGTAGGAAGGGGCTTGTCGGAAGAGTTTCACAATCGAACAGGTGAAACCAGAAACAATCAAATTAAAATTATGACAGCTTTCAAAATGTTTAAAAATAGTTTATGTAGTCTATAAAAGGATTTCTAAGAACGAACAGCTGAAATGCGTGCCTCTACCGAACATAGTTGATCTTGCAATAATAATCATAGTTTATTTATTTAATTTCTATGTTAGATCTTCAAGAAGTTCTCATTCCTTTTCTCTCACCTTCATGTTGCCCAGCCGCTTGGTTCTATCATTCACCAACAGCTTCTTGATCAAGTCTTTAGCAATGGGATCCATATGACGTTCCCATTCAATCTTTCCACTCAATATCTTTTCATATATGCCAAAGGGCTGCTCATCGTAGAATGGTGGATAGCCCACAAGCATTTCATAAATGAGAACACCTAAATTAAAGCAAAAAACATTAGTTTTATAAATTTTAGCTTTTGCTTTCGTTCTGTCTTACCCAATGCCCACCAATCGACGGCCTTGTTGTGGCCCTTGGATTGTATTATCTCAGGTGCAATATACTCGGGGGTGCCGCACAGTGTCCAGGTGCGGTCCCTTAGCTTTTTGGCAAAACCAAAATCTGTAATCTTCAAATGGCCATCGCGATTGATCAGCAGATTCTCTGGCTTCAGATCACGGTAGACAATTTGTAGTGAGTGCAGGTACTCCAGGGCGCTGACAATCTCAGCAGCAAAGAAGTTGGCTAAAAATGTATTTGCAATTAGCGAATCAGAGTGGAGTGTTTGTTTATTACTTACAAGTTTGACTAGTAAATTTGCCTGCATTACGCAGATATGTGAACAGCTCGCCGCCGCAGACATAATCAAAGATCATATATAGGTTTGACTCATCCTTTGTGGACCATTCCCTAGGGAGGGGGAGACACAAAATGACGTTAATGGAATCACAGATGTTTTTATATGGAAAGGAAATTGACAGTTCCTCCTGCTCTCATCTTTTGAATGATTTATTATTATATACACTTTCTTGGATTTACTTACAAACTGATGACAAACGGATGTCGTATTTCGCGCAGTATATTCCGCTCATTCTTGACGTGCTCAATCTGCTTTAGACGAATGACTTCGGTCATGGCCAAAATCTTCATGGCGCAATACTTCTCCGAAATCCGATCGCGACATAGGCACACGCGTCCAAAGGTGCCAGTGCCTGAAAGGGAGAACGTGAGTGAAAGAAAAATCATGAGTTAGATATCATATGTATGTTTTCCTTCCCGAATGAATTCAAGCAAGAAAAACCACAAACAGCATTCTTAAATATCGGGGCATGCCCCATTAAAGTGTTTGTAAATGATACGGAAAATGGGTCTGGTCGGGGCAGCACATATACTCATATGTGTGTACAATGTACAGAGCTCGGTGCATAATTACTTTTTTCACTTTTGAGCACGTTTTGAGGTTACAAAACCAAGCTCTTGGGTTGGCTTGGCTCTGGCTTGACTTGGCTATTGCTGGGGGTGTTGGCTTACATCGCCCATCAGATTTTCTCAACCTTGAATTTTTAATTGGGCTAACGTCCGACTCACCGGGCGAACGAGTGTGACTAAGACTGAGTAAGACCAAGACTAAGGGGGGGAGTAACTGACAGAAAAGGAAACGTGGAACGTGGAACATGGAACATGGAACGTGCGAGCAGCTCGCATTACCTCCTCGTACCTCTCTGTATGTAAGGCCAAGACCAAGAGGAAAATTTCTATTCGTTTTCTCTCTTGTTTCGTTTTGTTGTGCTAATGGCAGGGGAAGCAGCAAAACTGCTACAAATTGATTTGTCTTATAAATCAAATGCCGAAACGCAATCATTTTCCAATGAGAGTGCGGCAAAAGTTTTCCTTTCTGCAGATGCTTTTAGTTTTTCAGCACGTTTGGCTGTTGGCTGCTGTCGATGCTGATGGGTGTGCTCGATGTGCTCTTCGATGTTCCCATTCGGGGCCGACAATAATTAGCCATGATTTTTATTGTAATAAAGCAAAAGTGAGCGGATTATTGAACTCGGCCACCAAAATATCGGCAGAGCCACAATCATTTGACGTGCCACGTGCGTACCCTGCCATCCAACAATTAAATTAAACAAAAGCGAAAACCGCCAGTGGGCGTGGGCAGTGGGTGTGGCAGGCCCCATATGATTGCAGCTGTCTTAGCCGGGGGTCGGGAGAGCATTACACGTGCAAATCAAATATGAATCTCAGAAGTTGTAATTAATGAATTTTGTGCGCCTTTTGTGTGGCACACAAATTGGTTTCTCGATTACGTAGTCGGGATGAATCAGCAATGAATTGGGATTAGTGCAGGAGAGGGATTGGGCGGGGTATTAGCTGATTGCTGATGTTTGCCAGAGACTTAACGTAACGGCGAGTCAATGAGTTGAAAGTTTTTCCTGTTTCCATAACACAATATATATTGGAAATTCCCAAAATATTATTTTCCCAATTTTAAAATATAGAAATATATAAAAAGAAGCACCCCTACAGTTCTAACAATCAAAAATAATCAGCTAATAATAATAAAATATATACAATATGTTTTTTGGAGGGGTAAAATCTCTCACAAGATGGAAATGTTGTTTAGCAATTGCTTCAGATTCCAATTCTATATTTGGATAAACGATGAATAAATATGCGAAATATTCCAGACGATATTAAATCATCCAGATATAACTACATCCAATGAAGGATGCTTTTATGGATGAAAATCGAATCAGAACGAAGAGAGATATTCCCTGCTCAACGGCCAGACACTGGGCCGTGGGAGGGCGCAAAACAAACTGAACAAAAGGGGTAGGTGATGGGGAGGGGAAAACTATGGAAAGTATTTCCCATTCGCAATGTTTGAAAAAATATTTCGGTCGGGCAGCAGATCTGCAGATCTGCAGTCATGCATGGCACATGGCCATCATGAAACAATAACAGAAAAGGAAAAAGTTTCACAAAGGAATTTGGGTTTCGATTTAAAAGAATTTAGTTTTTTAAATATTTACACATTTTAATGGTGTAAAATTCTATTGGGAATGTTTAATAACTGATTCGGCATTCCGCCTGGGGGTTTCTGGTGTCTTAGATATCAAATATTTGCAGCATCTTTTAGGATAATTTGAATTGTACAAGTCGTGGTTTTACTTTTACTTTTGCTGAGTGCTGACTTAGTACGTTGACTTGAAAAATACCCATTAAACCGATCCCTACTTTCTGTTTTCAACTATTTGCCACACACTCTGCCGTGTAAGTGGCATCTTCAGACTCCAGTGAAGCTTGGCAGCAGTCGAGACGATCTTTTAGCACCTCATACACGAGCCACTTCAAGTGCAGCGTCGTCTAGCATAAAGGAAAGTGCTTTTACCGACAGTTTAACTACTGCTACAACTCGCACTGCCCTCCGGCAGCACCGCTCACACACCTGAGGCAGTTGCAGAGACTGCTAAACGTCTCTGGCCAAAGTGAAATTGTGACAGCTGCAGAGCAGACAACAAACAAGCGGCGCAGACGCAGACGCAGAAGCAGCCGCGTAAGTGGATGTGCATGTGGATGCCATGGATCCAAAGCCAGACACAGACACTACAGAGCAAAGCCAGTCAACAACAATTAAAGTCTGGCTGAGTTGTGGCCAAACCTGTTGTTTCTGTGGCAGACGCAGACTCCTTCATAAAAGTTGCAGCAGCAGCAGGCAATAACAGGCAACAGCAAGAGCAACTGGCAAAAGATGCATCTGCAAAAAAGTGCGTGAAAAAAGGCGAAGAAACATATTTTACATAATACATAAAACTTTCTATTTAACGATGCGATGGCCAGCAACTGACCAGGCCAGACCACAGGCCAGACCCGACCCGACCAGAGACATATTTATTTTGGCGCGACAGCGTTCATGGATGCAATCTCCGCCTCCGCCTCTGTCTGATGGATGGATGGATACGGCTGTCCCATGCCATGCCTTTCATTTGCCCAAAAAGAAATAAAAATCATTTCAATCTTTCATGAAAGATCTGTGCCAAAAGTTAAAATACTGTAAATGGCGAGACATGTAAATGGCAAAGGAATAAACGACCCAGGCGATGCAATTCTCGTATAAACTTGGCACACTTTTTGCACCATTTTTTTGCAGCAGCTGCGGCTGAGGTTGCGTTGCAAGTTAAATAAAGTTAATTGCGTTTTATACAGTGCATTTAAGCAAAGTTTGTTTAAAGATGCATAAATAAAAGAACCCCGACAGAGAGATACAGTCATGGAAATGCACTGCAAGCCATGGAGGCCAGGTTAAAAATAATCGACTAGCAAGATGCTTAAGTTTAAACAATACCAAGTCAACACTGAGATGCGATCAGTGAAACTGTTGCAAATAATAGCAAACAAAAGTGTTTTTCAGGTCACTTGATAAGTGCTGAATGAGTGAGCTAATTAATAACAAGGAGACTACTAATTGAGGCTGTCTAAATTATATTTCCCACTTAACACACACTGACAATCCCTCAACACAACCAGAACCATTGCCAGATTTCAGTTCTTAGATCATCCACGTCTGCTTCTACAATTTGATCATTTTAGACAACAAATTCAAGAAGAAATGCACCACGGAAGTCGCCTACTGACCCACAACACACACCGTGTCCAATCATATTTGCATTCGATGACATCTCCCTGGTCATAACTTAAGCGATTTATGACATTTACAAAGCACATGTTCGCCCATTGGACAACGCAAGCAACGCCAGCAACGCCAGCAACCCACCTGCCTGTGCCAGTTCGTGTCGCTGTTGTTGACAAGATTTTACACCGCAATTTACAAGCCACAAAAATTGTGACAACAACAGTAGCAGCAGCAGCAGCAGCTGTGGGGGAGGAGGCAGGTGGAGATCGAACATAAATTCAATTTGGAAACTGTAGGGTATGGATGCAATTCGATTTGCCAGATGCACTACAGATGCATTTGTAGGTCACTTTTATTAATAAGACAAAAACAGAGCAGAGCCACTGAAATGCTGTTTATAAGGCAATTTTATATGCTCATTTAATGTTTGAGAAAACGCCGAGACATGCATGCGAAAATAAAGCCAAAAGCCCATCGGACGATTCCCCGAGTCTGGGGTTTGGGGTCTGGGGTCTGGGATCTGGGGTGTCCCATACAGCAGGCAATTTTCTGCGAGTCTTTTTTTCTTGCTTTGCTCTTTTGGACTCGATCTGGGCATAGTGCCAAATAATAATTTCTATAATATTTGCTTATACGTTTGTCCGATTTTGTTGAAATAAAATTTCGGATATTTTCTGGCTTCAAAAAGTTTACAAAGATCGTGCGGCGCGGCGCGGCGCAGTGCGGGCTGGCAGATTTCAAATTTTCCATGGTATCATAAATTTCTTGTTGACTGATTTTGTCTTTTCATGCGGCGAGAGTAGCGAATGAAATTATTATTATAGATACACGGACACATACTTATATAGAGTCGTAGATATATTGTTAGATAGGGGCAGCCGCCAGGCACTTAGCAGACAACAAAAAAATCGAGAAGGATGAGGATTGAGAGAGGAAATCCATTTTGAACTATGAGTTATACTTTGCAGACGGAACGACGACACACAACTTGTTGTTCCACACACAAACATCCACTGGGACATGTGTTTTTTTGCTATCTGACAGATACATTTAGCTGCTTGAGATTTGATTGCCTTTTATTATTTAAAAATCAATTTATTCGAAAAGCGCAGAAAAACATAAAGGAACCCCCGGCCCAAACCCTACCAACAAACACTGACACTGACCCGCTCTCTCCTCTCTTTGAATTGATTTCAATTGGAAAATGGCAACAAACTTTGTTTTGGGGCCTTGTTTTGGGCAACAATTTGATGTCCCAGCAGCTGAAATTGTATTTCCGAGAAACGTGCGTAAATATTTATCTTGTAGCAGAAATCTATCAATCAATGCCCACAGCCCACAATTAGCAGTCCAAGAGCAGATGCGGCAGTCAAAAAGGATTGTCCGTCTGTCCCGATCCGCGATCAGTGATCCGAAAAACCACCCCCTACAGGGACAATTTGTCAACTTTAAATATTGTCTGTGGAAGGTCAAGCAGCGTCAAGATTGTCAGAGATTTCCGCATGCCATTTGTCAAGATGTCACCCATAAAGTGAGAGAAGTGGGCCACCAAATAGTCACATGGGGGACTCTTGTCCATTAGCCAAACTTCTCTGAGAGATCATTGATCTTTGGGGAACATATTGCAGAGTTTTCCAACCACTTAAGAAACCGAGAATAAAGGGGAGCTCCCTACATTTCTCCCGGATACTTTCTGCCACACGCCACGAACTTTCACTCGCTGAACGCTGTCCACTTCCAATCCAGTTTCCCCCGAGAGAAAGAAACATTTCCTTTTCGAGCAGAGTCCATTCCACTTCGGTGTTAATGGCAGCCTGAAACACTGATATGACAGCTCTAACGCCATAGTTTTATGGCCTTTCTCGGGCATGATTATAGTCTATCGCAAAGGCATGCAGCCAGAACATGCACAAAACAGAAACATTTTTAATTTGTTTGCCCAAGGGAGCAAAACAAAAGATCTGTTGTTGTTATTCGAAAATTGTGAAAACATTTCTTGGGAAATTTTCCCTCAAGGAAATCCCCGCTGCTGTTTTTTCGTGTTGGATTCCATCACTCGCCCTGGTTGAATCAGATAAGCGTCTGTGGTCCAGAAGGTAAACTTTCAATTAATCAATGGAATTGCATACAAGCATCCAGCGTAACTATCAATATTTATTAAAAGTCTTAAAGGGGGGGCCATGTCGGGATGTTTTGCTTTTAGTTCAATGCATTTTGTTCCTTCTTCCCATTCAATATAGCTCTCAACATCCCCTGGGTTTTCCTCAATTATGGCTACTGCATGCGATGATGATGATGATGCCCCGCATCTCCTGGCCATTGTTCTTATGGTTATTGTTATTATCAAAATGGATAGCCACTGGGGCAGGGGAGGATGAGCAGGCTGATTATTTTTCGTATGCCCTAATAGCAGCGTGACTCAGTCGCATTTGTTTCCACTCTCTCCCCAGTCCCAGTCCCAATCCGAATCCCATTTCAATTCGTATTCCCCTGACTGTGCCATGTGCCTGTGCATAGCATGATTTCCGCTCTAGTTTATTTACTTTTTACGAACATTTCTTGAAAATCGTACTCAATACTCAATACCTTTGCCCGTTTCCATGTTTGTCTAGCAATTGTTTGAAATGAATGCTAGATTACTCATACGCTGGATGCTGAAAGCCAATGCGGAAAGGCACTCGCCGGAATTACTCACTCACTCGGTGTGAAATTTGCTGATTGAGGAATTTTGTACGGAATGAATTCAGCACCGGAAAGGCATTCGAACATCCCACTCTTGGCATAGGGCATGTCTTCTACAGGAAACGAACCCAACAGAAAAGCCAGCAGTGCGACTTGATGATTTTTGTAGGGGATTTAAGTTCTTGGGAATGCTATTAATTACACCCACAATCATTTTAGAAGCTGTATAATTTTATATAATTGCAAATTTCAACACAAAAGTCGACGATTTAATTGATCTTGAGGCAATTACCGACTCCCACATTGACTTTATAGAACTTTGAATGGATCCAATCTGTTGCTTCGCAGCGCAAAACGATCGATAAATAAATGTTTTCAAATGACTTTGATACCACCGCAAAGAGCAGAAGGAAAACCGTTTCACACGTGTACTAAAAGCAAATGCTGCAGTAATAAATCTTGAAAACGTCCCGATTTAGCCTCAAACAGAGTAAATATTTATGCCGCAAATGCTTAATGAGATTTTGGAAATCCCAGGCGATGGTGCACTAAACTTAATACAATGCTAAAATGTTGTTCTTTTTCGCTATTTGTTTGCCATCATATCGAACACACCAGCGCAGACGTCAAAATGGGAAAACAAATCAAAATATTATGGGCATTAATGGGTTGAACGTCCATGCGAGTACGTAAGACTCATTCATGATCCTAAACAGAGTCCAAATGTAGTACATATACTCGTTTACCAACTACACTTTAAATATTTTCTAAATGAAATTTTACGCAAGCAAAGAGAAGGCAATTGCCTTGGCCTCTGCGGTGCCAAGATGCTCATAATAATCATAAGAAGAACATGGTTCCCATTCGATCCACGAGAACCCCATTCCATTTGCGTAATCAATAAGATTTTATTTACGTATAAAACGAATAAAAGGCAATAGAAAAACTGAAGCTAGCGTTAAGCTAGAGCAAACATTAACAAAAGGCAGATGCATAAAAAATGAGGTAATAAATATTTGAAATTAAATCGCGGAACGAAATCAAAAGAATAGCAAACAAAATCAAAACCCCAAGAGAGCAAGAGAGCAAGAGAGCAAGGGAGGGTGAAAGGTATATATTATATGTGAATCAATTGTATCCAGATGAAATAACTGAACGAATTGATTGAACAGGTGAGAAAAGTCTTAAGGGAATATCTGTTCTGGTTCGGTTCCCGTCTGAAATATCTTTCCATGGAACTCGTTCTGGTCTCGTGCTGTAACTTATTGGATCTTGCTTATGATCTCATCAAAACCTTGACTCTTAAACCAACCTAGAACTACTTTACTCTACTCGTAATGTGTTTTGATAGCTTCACTCTAAACAGTTTCCCTCCTACACAAACAAAATGGAAATCTCTGAGCAGACAAGTTGAAGGTAATCGCAGGAGACGAGACCTTAACATCAATCACTTGATGCCTGGAACATAATGTAAACAGCTGTCGTATGTATGGATGTTCGAGTGACTTACCCACAGTTTTGATTATTTGGTAGTCGTCCAAGTGAAATTTGCGAACTCCCTTGGCTGTCTGGACGCTGCTGCTCTCATCGGAGTCATCCTCATCCTCCTCGTCGTCGGTCTCATTGCCGTCATCCTCCTCGATGCTCTCGTTGGAATCATTGGTAACATCGTCGCCGTCGCGACCATCGCCATCATTCTCATCGTCGTCATCCTCCTCCTCTTCCACCTCATTGTCATGGTCAGCGGAGCTTGTTGTGGTCGTGGCACTGCTGCTGCTCCGGCTGCTTACGTGGTTCTGGCTCTGACTTTGGCTCTGACTCTGCTCCGGCTCCGGTTCTGGCTCTTCCTCCTCCTCGCTGTAATCTGATTCCAAAGGATCTGATGACTCACTTGAGGCAACGCTGTGGCTGCCAGCGCCCCCGTTGCTGCTGCCGCCAGTTGCACGGCCCAATTTGAATGTGAATGTCGCCTCTGTGTTGGTATCATTTGCGGGAATTTTCTTCTTGTATGCTGACGTCATGCTGCTGTTTCCTGTTCCTGTCGTCAATTTTGACGACGATCCTGTGCCCGATGTGTTGGACTTGGCTTTGTTGGAGCCGCCACCGCCTCCAGCTGTCAACGGTGTACAGAAGCGGGCACAAGCGGCTGCGGACATATCTCTGCCAATCCCTGGCTCCTCCTCCTCCTACTCAATTGTCCTGCGTTTATTTCTGGCTCTCGCTTTCGCTGGCCCTTTCCTGTTGTTTTTGTTGTAGTTCTTCCTGCAATTGCATAGAACAAAAAAAAAATGGGTTAGAATTCAATTTTCCCTTTGAAATGGGTTCTTTTTGTGGTCAAAATCTCCTATATTTTGATGGGTTTTCAATTTGAGTATCGATGGCTGGACGTTTAATGTCTCCTACAATCCTTTACAGATATCATGGAATTAATAGGCATATTTTTATGGCTTATTCATAGTCAATTCCATTCCCACTTCCCAGGGACACCCCCAACTAAGGGAATGGATGGATGCTGCCCTTTGTATATAGGCCTGACACAGAATGAGACACACAGCAGAGAGTTTGTCGTGCGCATAAATTGAAAGTGAAATGGCATGGCCGCTGGTCAGCAACAAGTGGTGGGGCCCATGTCTGTCTCGGGTCTTATCAGAGGACATGCAGGCTGACAGACAAGGGCATTGTCATTGATTGTCAGGATGGGAAAATTGAGTTCTATACATGCCAAAGGGTTCTCTTTTCTTTCCATCTCCCGGCACAATGGAGGCTTCAGTTAATATTACATACTAATATTATTAATAACAATGAATGCATTCGTGATTCAATTTGATGGCTGGCTGCCTAGCTGCCTAGCTGACTAGCTGGCTGGCTGCCTTGCTCCAAGTCCCACAACAAAAGAAACACCAAGAGTGTGCCCCCAGACGTGTAACTTAATAGCTGAGACACAAAGGCGCCAAGAACTCTCGACTCGTCTTGGGGGAGTTGTGGGACTCGGGGTCTTGTGGCGTCCGAGTCAGTTCGCCTTAATGCACTGATGCATTTAATTTAACGATGCAAAATACAAAAGGAAATGCCCTGAATATGAAAAATTATGATGCATCTATCTATCTACATGGATGTACGAATATGAAAATCAATAATCATCTACGAGCTCGAGCACTTGCGGCCGCCTGAGTGGCTTTTATTGTTTAAGCGAGTGCCGGATGAATCTAGGGCAGCCAGCCGGCAAGCGCCAGTCAGCCAGCCAGCCAATGCGAGTAGAAGACCATTCAATTGATTCAAAGATTGCACAAAAAAACAACCCCAAAATGGGGCCTCGTATAGAGAAAAGGATTGAGGAGTAAGTTATTAGCCAGCGGCATTTGCTATTGGCTGCAACAAAGGCCAGGAATATGACAATGGATGAGCAGCTGATATTAAAAAGTAGGGATTAAGACTGGGGAATATGAGAAAAGTTCATAGAAAGTGATAAGAAAATATTTCGAGGCCAAAGAAATATAAATATAAAACATTCTTTGGGGACTTTCTATAGTTCCACAGTACATCCTACGAAATTGTTCCCTTTCTATTATTTTTTGTTCTACTTCTTAAATGTCTCAGTCATAAGTACGTCAATTGTCTCACGTCGAAGCAGAAGCAGCAGCAGCAACAACAAAGACAATTCACTTCACACGCCTCACGCTCTAATGACAAGGCAAATCCCTAACGTTGCGAATATAAAACAAACACATATATTTAAATATATAAAAATATATTACTGCGCATCTACTAAAAAAAAACCATTGCTAATACTATTTACAATATTTTATTATTGGAGAAACCTTGTCAAAGTGGAATATTTTTTGTTTTGTTTTGTTATTTTTGCGATTTGCAAACAAACATCTTCAATATTTTATTTGATTTTTTGGCTTTGTTTTATACATATTCGTAGATATTATTGTTATTACACAAACAATATGTATACATTTTATGAACAGTCTGTCACTCAGAATTATTTATGTACGAGTTTAACCTTTTTGCACATTTTCGGGCCAAACGAAACGCCAACGCGTTGAAATTGCGGAAATATAACTTAAAGTTGCCCGAGGCAGAGTGCAGAAGATTGTTTTGAGAATAATTTCTCAAAAAAATTAGTGTAGACAATCACTCGGGGGGCTGTAAATTAGCCACAGACCCACTGGCTACAGCTACAACAAGTACAAGCAGGCACGCACACACACGGACGAATCTCGGATCTTGGTTCTATATAACCCACTCTGAGCAGCGCCTCCCCCCCATTCACCTTGGTGGCTGCCAAAAACTGAAAATGGAAATGGAAATGGAAATGGAAATTGGGGTCGTCGTAGTCGTAGTCGTCGCTGCCAGAGCGCCAAAATGTTAAATTGTTGCTTAATCTTCCGGTGGCCAGCAGCACTCTGCTTTCAGGCTGATTTCGTGAATGGAAAAAGCCCATCGAAAAATGTATACTAAATAAAATACATACATACATATGTACACATGTATGTACTGTTCGAAAAGTTTGCCGAGAAAATCAGGTGAATGAAAGTGAAAATCGTAAAGATCGTTTGGATTAAACATAAATCTCGGGCAGCTTTAGAAGTGCTAAAAATAAATGGCAGTTCCTGTTTCAGAATACAACTGCAATTCGCAGGGTCAATGCACTTTTGTATGCAGTTTATAGTTTTATTACTAAAAAAAAAATAAATAGAAATAGAATTTGGGGATTCTCCTCCCTCTGGGACTTTCAATATCACTTCATAATTTTCCCTTTTATTGTCTATTTATAACGTTTTGTGTTTTCATATTCGCCTGAGCTAATTTATTGCCAAAATCTGTCTGTGTTTTTAAAGATTTCATTTCATTTTCTTTTTTGAGTAGATTTCCACTCTCCGAAAAATTATGAAACTCTTCCCATGGGGCTGTCTTGGCACACCTCACATTAAGGCACTGTGATTTATATAGAATATTAGAATAATATTCGAATTGGAAACAAGATGAGATTGCCTGCAGGTTGGCCACTTGATCTCTGGTACCACGAATTAAATTTACGTTCAATGCTTGCAACATTTATTAATTCGTTGGGCCAGCCAGCGAATAAATTATGTTATTAATTAATTAAAAGCAGCGTGAACCGATTTGTTCCGATATACGCATATGTATGGGTGTGATATATGGATAGAACACAGCCAGAGGCTTCTCATATTTTTATCATCGTCATCGGTGTATTTTTGAACAGAGAAAGATAAATTGTTGTAGGCGTTGTGGGAATATTATTAATTTGCGTCCACCAGGAAACCAAGCATCACGAAGTGTAATTATGAATAAGTGCATACGTTCGAATTAACGATTTGCGGGGTGTTACCAAAAAAGAAAATTCATTGCCCATTTCAAGTTGACAAAATACAGATTTTCCCCCTACCTCTCTTTCTGTGTGGGCAATAAACCCCAAATGGCAATAATCATCAAAAATAATGCCGGCAAAATGTAATCATAACACGACAAAACCCCTGCCCTGCCACACTCTTTGTTTCTTGTGCGCTCTTCGGTACCGGAGGGGGTTTCTCGAACTCATATAAGGGCGAAACAGATTTATGGATTTGTTTTTACAGAGCAAAAGGTATTTCCTTTCCGTTGTCCTTGTGCTAGTTCTAGTAGGTACTGTATTTGGTGATGAAAATACATAAAAGTTTCATGCGTTTGAGGAAGTTTCGAAAAAGATTGACGTGTTGTCCTTGACTCAGTCTCAAGCGGGAGAGTTATTGAAGTGAGGCATGAAGAAAGGCTATTTAAATGGGGTCAACCACATGGATATTGTGGGTGCACTTGAAGCACAAAGATAGAGAGAGAAAAAATGCTTGGAGTTATGGTAAAAAGGTGTGATTCAATAGGAAAGATGTCCGAATAAGACTGGGAAATAAGTGGAAAACTATTACCAATTATTGCAAAAAGATTATTAAAATTATGAATTACGAGTACATACTTTTCCACTCTAAAAATGAATATAAATCTCTTCCTATTGTTCCCAATTAGCTAATTGCAATAATTTAATATGCTCGGATAATTTTAGTGTTCAAAGCTCAATACGAAGCGAATTCACAGTCTTTACTCTTTTTTTCTATTTTGGAAAGCAAAACATGAATAGATTATTACTGTGGTGGCTGTGGCTGTGCTGCTGCTGTCCACTTTTTACACCATTTCGTACGAGTATTTATGATTACTCACCCAGCTAAATGTTAAGAGGCCACAATCGCCGGCTGTTTTGGTTTTTCTTAACGATCGCTGGCGATCTATTTTCTTGTCCGTCTGTCCGTCTCTTTGTCTGTCTGTCTGTCTGGCTTTGAGTTCTAATTTTTTGCTGGAGCAAAATTTGAACGCTTGCGAAATTGTTAAAAATAAATATGTTACTTTGAGAGCGCACGATTTTCCTTCTTGCCGTCTCGCCGTCTCGATATTCTCCCTCTTTCTTCTTCTGTTGGTTGGCAGCAACAAAAAAGCGAAACCCGCAGAAGCCGACACACAGAAACAGAAATCAGAAATAAACTCAACACTCAGCGTTTTCTCATGGGCTATAGGTACACCAGATCGACTGGACACTGGACCCCGGGACAGACGATGGCGATACTCGTACAATTTGCTTTATTTGTGTCACTTTTTTGTGGGATTTTGTTTTTAGTTTTAGTTTGTTTCTTGCGATTCGTTTGGTTTTGTCGCGCTTTGCTTTAGAAGAGAAGACAAAGTACCGCTTTGGTTTACAACAACTTCAAGTGTTTTTTGTTTGTTTTGTTTTGTGTTTTGTTTATAGTGTATGCCTTCTTGGGGATCGTGAGATCCGAGTGATCTAGAATTTCCGGTTTTGCAGCTTGCAGTTTTTACCCTGTTGCTGTTACCGTTGCCGTTTGTTTTTGTTTCTACCTTTTCCAAAGTTGTAACAATTGCAATATGCAAATGAACCGAATTATGAGTAATTAATCAAAAAAGTTGCCACAACGTTCTGACAATTTGAATTTGTCTGAGATCTTCCAATGCCGATTTTTCAGTTTCAGTTTTATTCAGATTTTTCAGATTTTCGTATCGTTCTTTAGTTCTATTGTGGGATTTGTATTTGGTTGACCAGCCGCTTCCACGTTTTGCACGAAACTGAAACGTAAAATCTGCGAATCGCTTGCCAGAGCACTCGTTGTCGGCGTCGGTCGGCCCCCAGTCAATTGTGGCAGGGGCAGCAACAGCACCAGCAGCAGCACCAGCAACAGCGAACGAACATTCATGATGATGATGATGGCGCTGGTGATGGTGATGACGATGAGCTTGGGAGGCTGCCAGAGGCTGTGGAGCTTCATTGGATGATGTTTGTGTTTGCTCTCATCATCCATGTGTGTGCCAGTGCCCATGTCTGTGCGGTTGCTGTTGCCTTTGCTTGTGGAGTGTTCCTCTTAAACAGTTTGGCGGCACAAAGTGGCCAACAGGATCAGTGGAAGTACAAGTTGTCCGTGATAAGGGAGCCCATTGTGTGTTGTCGGGCTAATTTACACTGTGTGTACCTCTCGTTTACTTATACAGAAGACAGACATCTGAAAATGTTTTGTTTGTTTTTAGTAGACATCATGGCAACACAGCAGCAGCGAAGAAAATCTGGGAAATATGTACTTTATAAGTATGTATATTTACGAGCCCTCCCAAGTGTAAGCAAACAGCGAATGGTTCTTCAACCGTTTTGGATTTTTGGATATTTGGATGTTTGGATATTTTGGTTTTTGGTTTGGTTTGGCTTGCATGTTTACGTTGATTTTGTTGGCTGTTGTAATCAAGCTTGACAAGGTCAGGCGGCGGCAGTTAGTCGGTTCAGACGCCTGCGTGCCAGAGCCACATTTCAGGTGCGGCAGGCTACATATGAATGTAGTCCTCGTACAATTGTTTTATGCATTACAATTTGATGTTATAATTAAGCGAAAGCAGGCACGAGATGTTAGCTAGCTTTGCCACTAAATACTCGCATGTGTGTGTTGCAAGTGTGTTTTTATGGGCTGCTGCAGTTCTGCTGTCAAGGGCAAGGACAACGCGTGGCTCACCTGCTTAAGTGTGAAATGTGGCAGAGACGGGCATGTATTTTCCTCCGACTGGACAGACTGTCATGGTCTGGACAGGCTGCTAGAAGAAACCGCCAAGCCACAATAAGCTCCATGTTGCAACAACAAAACAAAACACGCACAGTTTACAAAACATTTTGAATTCTCCCTCCGATATATCGATTATTGTGCTCACAAATGTTGCCAGATGGCTCAAGTTTCTGGTATATGTTATAACAGTGACAAGCAGCCATTCCCTCCACGTACATTTTATTCTTTTATTTTGGGTTGACCTTTTTAGTTTGATCCTTATATTCTAAACAATGTCATGAAAAAAAGTCATGAGAACTAGCCAATCTTGTGGAGAATTGATTGATAAATCGGATAAATTTATAGTTTTAGCGCTGAGAAACCTATCTAGCTAATACCATTAAGTATAAAATCAAATTCGGGGAAATGATTTCATTTTACGGTATATTTTTAAAATGAGAAGGAATTTTGTAGATGGTCTTGCTGTTCAAAATTCAAATACAAATTTGTAAAATATAAGGTCATAAGATATACAATCAAATAAAAAAGAGTATTTATGATATTCAAAATTGATTATTCAAACGGATTCAATTATTGTTTCAGTGGTGAAAGTCTTTGCAAGCTTGTAAAATCAAATAGAACACAAAAATCGAGGAATATTTAAGAGTACGGTATATTTGAAAAATGAGAAGGAATCTTGTAGATGGTCGTGCGGTATATTTGATCGATAAGTCCGCGGTAACCAGCTGTTCAAAACAAAAACAAACAAAAAAACGCTCTTATATCTTTTCCGTGGTCAAATATTAGTTTTACACTAATTCAAACTCAAGATGCAGTTCTCGTGGATGAAAGTGGCCATATATGTGCTGACATTTCTCACATACGCCTACTCCGGCTACGGATCAAGCACAATTGTCCATGTAAGTGAGCGGTCACTTGGAACTGCAATGCACTCTTCGCCCTTACTTAATGCCCAGTGTTTGTATTCCCCTCTGGACAGCTAAGGGATGCTATTATTGCAGCCGAGGCAATCTTCGGTGACGTGTTCAAGAATCTCATCACGGTTGTTCGCAAGTTTCGCACCGTCCACGAGGTGTTCGATGCTGCCGTGGAGGAGAATTGTGTGTTTCAGTGTCCACCGCCAGACGGAGGGGGCCCAGGTACTGGTACTGTGACGCAAATTGCGTTCGCATTATGTAAATTCTCGATACACTATGACAACTGACGTGTGTCTTGTGGCTTTGCAGCACCTCGAGCAGTTCAGAATAAGTTCTACACACCGACCGCAGATGGCTGCGGTTCGCTGGGATTGCGGATAAGCACGGACTACCTGCCGGCAGTGGAGATGGAGACATGCTGCAACGACCACGATATCTGCTACGATACGTGCAACAGTGACAAGGAGCTGTGTGACCTGGACTTTAAGCGGTGTCTCTACAAGTACTGCGACAGCTATGAGAAATCCTTGACCAGTGACCTGATGACGAAGGGTTGCAAAGCCGCTGCCAAGATGCTGTTCACGGGTACACTAACCCTCGGCTGCCGGTCGTTTCTGGACTCACAGAAGCGCTCCTGCTACTGTGCCCCAGCCAAAGCAAGCTCCTACAATGGCAACAAGTATGCAAACAGCAAGGAAAAGCAGCAGCGCCAGAAGTCTGGCTGGAAAGATCGCAACGAGATATAGCACTTAGCTAATTTATAGACGCACAAGCCTTAGAGGACAGACGTATAATTAAGAACATTTGTGTTGAATGTTGTCGTTAAACTTCGTTTCATGTTGGTTTTTAGTGAAGCGGAGCCCATTTCCCGCCATTAATGGAAATTGGGCTTCCTTATCTGACGAATTTTTGTATTTATAAACCAAAGAAAGTATCTACACTCCCCAATAAATATGTGGATATTCTAACCAATGAAAATGGTCAAAACAATCCGTTTGAACTTCAACAATTCGATGATGAAATCAGTTATCATACATGTGTCTCTGTTAATAATTTACATGCTTTTACATACAGAAGACAAATACCAAAATGCAGTATTTTTTTCATTGTTCTTATAGCTATTTGATCAAAACTAAATTTTTAGTTTGAAACTTAATTTGTACACATTCCAACACAGTCGTAAGTCGTAAGAACTAGCCAATCGTGTGGAGAACTGATTGATAAATCGGATAAAATTAAAGTTTTAGCGCGGAGACTCTTAACTAGCTAGTAATATTAAATGGAATATCAAAATCGAGGAAAAGAATTTAAGATTCACGGTATATTTACAGTATATTTTGAAAATGCAAGGGTTTATTTCGGTATATTTTTGAGAGCCTGTCGGTATATTTTAGCGATAATTCCGCGGTCACACTGGTCACAAGCGCAACAAAAAAAATTTTGCAATCTTCACAAAAAATGATTTATTAAAATTGTGTCTTTATGCTATGCACACAACCCAAGGCTAACATGGGATACGATGTCAATCGATTTCAGGGAGAAGTGGACGAGGAGCTAACATGCCCCATTTGCTCTGGCGTACTGGAGGATCCGCTGCAGGTTTGTTTGACCCACGAACGAGATTGATCTCCGAGTGCAACTCACAATTTTTGCTATTGCAGGCTGTCATGTGCGAGCACGCCTTCTGTCGCGGGTGCATCAACGAATGGCTGACACGGCAGCCCACGTGCCCTGTGGATCGCAACGCTCTGACGACAGCGAATCTACGTGCCGTGCCTCGTATATTGCGCAACCTACTGTCCAGGTGAGAACGAATGACCGACCACCCTCTGCTTGCGCCTGTAACCCAATTAACTCTTTCACTTTCAGACTATCAATTACCTGTGACAATGCACCGTATGGCTGCACCGCTGTGCTCAAACTAGACATATATAATTCCCATTTGGAGGACTGCATTCACAATCCGAAGCGTCCCTTTCCCTGTGAAAAAGGCTGTGGCTTCGACATACCCAAGGACGAGCTAAAAGACCACAACTGCGTGCGGGAGCTGCGCACGCTGATTGTCAAGCAAACGGAGAAAATGGGGGAGCTCAAATCGGAGCTAACTGACCAGCAGCTGACCATCAATGAACTGAAAAGAGAGCTGCAGCTGTTCAAGGACTTTATGCGTGCCATGCGCGTATCCAATCCGGCCATGCGCGCGATAGCCGACCAGATGGAGCGTGACGAGGTTATTCGCTGGAGCAGCGCCCTGCCCCGAGCCAGGGTCACTCGCTGGGGAGGAATGATCTCTACGCCCGATGATGCACTGCAAGTGAGAGTCTATACACAGAGATGGTGTTTACAACTAGGCTGACAATGTCTGCGATTCATTACAGCTCATGATCAAGCGCGCTCTGTCCGAGTCGGGCTGTCCACCACACATTCTGGATAGTTTAATGGAGTTCTGCCATGAGAGACGCTGGCCGCGAGGCCTTAGCTCGCTAGAAACGCGTCAAAATAACCGCAGAATCTATGATAACTACATCTGTCGGCGCATTCCAGGTGAGTGGGTGAAGGTTCCGCTCCACACAAGCCCCTAGACAATTCCCTATCCCCCAACAGGCAAACAAGCTGTGCTCGTGCTGAGCTGCGATAACCTACACATGACTGAGGACGTGATGATCGATCCGGGCTTGGTTATGATCTTTGCCCATGGCATTGAATAGGCAGCCACTACCACTACTTATCTTAGGTCAAGTTCTCACAATAATTCCCCCACCCCCAGCAGTGCTCAGTTTTGTTGATTCCTTAACAATTAGGTTTAAGCATTGAAATCGTCGATCAGCGTCTCGTGTAGCCTTGGGACTAAGAAAAAGCTCTCACTCGAAGGATGATCAATAGGAATACCATTATCATTATCATACCGTTCAAGCGCCTCATGACGACTTTCAAGTTGTACAAAAAACATTTATTCATACGTACATCTATTTCGGATCGTTGTTTCTTTTATTCCATTTAGTTTGTAACAAATTATTCCTCACGATTATACACCTAAAAGCCAAGAACATCAACAACAACAACAACATTATTTTATTTCTCTAATTAAGCGATCTCAACGAAGAAAAAAAATATCTCAATTTGTTATTGTTCTCTGTTCACTTTCCCCTCTATTCGGACCATGTGAGTGTCTTAATTTGTGTTTCGATTCCTATTAGAGAGCACATTTTACTCGAAGTTTTGAAATTATTATTAATACTTGTATTAGTTTAAACCAGGAGCAAGTAATAATAAAAGATTTATTCAAATACAGCCGCCACTCGACTCGACTCAAGTGGAAGAGATTGAGAAATCTCCCCTAATCAATAAGTTCACTGGGATGCTCCCACACACATATGTACGCACGGGCATCCATCCATCTCTCTCTCTCTCTTCGCCTCTGTAAAGTTCTGGGTGGGGTGGTGGAGCAACATCTGTTTCCAGAAAAGGAAATCAAGCCCACAGCAGGGGCAAACAAAATAAACAAAAGAAAAAGCCAAACTAGTTCCTCCACTCCACTCCATGAGCTTTACTCTTACGAACAAATACAACAAAAAGGCAATTTGGAAAACCGGTTTCGGCTTTTGTACACCCGTTTCGTATCGTTTCGTTTAGTTTTTTTCCTACATAACATAAAAAATTATTTAATCTTTCTGCCTGTTACTCGTGCCAAAATCTTTATGTATATATTCGATTTGCCGAAAAATATTTGTAATTATTGATAGAAACCATTAGCGAGATCGTATCAGGGGACGTCCCTCGTGTGGCGATTGAAAAGTGAGAGTTGATCGCAGAAAGGCGAAGATTTGTAGAGATTTTCAAACAGTTTTTATTGAAGCTTCGTAGCTAGCGGACGTGTCCGGGGAACAGAGCCAAAATGAATTTGTCAATTTTGCTACTTATTGTGGGTGTCGTCTGCCTGGGAGCTGCATCAGCAGCACCTCAGTTAAGGCAGCGCAACGAGAAGCAGGTCCAGACGGTCGAAGACGAGTTCCGTAAGTGTAAAATAAAATCCATTAATGATTCGTTATATGATTTAATGTTAATTTCTAATCATTTTGCAGCATACAAAGGTGCCACCATTGAGGAAGTGGTTGTGGAGTCTGCTCTTTACATCAAGCCTAAGGCTACACAGCAGACGAGACGTGTGCGTTCGGCAGATTCGGAAGATTCCGCTCTGCAAGGCATCTATGCGACACACAAGCGGGTGAAGCGTGGCCGTGGAGGCCGTGGACCTGGCTTTGGTGACCGATATGCAGGAAATCCTGGTTTTGGCGCCGGGTTTGGTGGTAATCCCAGTGGCGGCTTCGGAGGCAACAACCAAAGATTCGGCGGCAGTAACACTCAGGCAGGCACCTCAGCAGGAGTTGGAGGAACTAAGGCCGGCGTTGATGTTGGTGCCGGACCCAATGGCGGCAATGCCAATGCCAATGTGCAGCTGAATCCACTCGGTCCACTGGGCCCCAGCGGCTTTAACCAAGAACAGTCTGTCTCCAATGGCGCTGCCCACAGCAACTACAACAACGGGCTCAATGCCGGCTCCTCGGCAGCCAATGCACAGGCACAGGGATTCCAGTCGCAGACTGCTAATGGTTCCTTCGGCGCCTCCTCCGCCAGCACAGCAACCCAGTCGCAGAACATTAATCCATTCGGGAGCAACAATGCCGCTGGAGCCTCGCTTAGTCAGGTGTACAAGCTGCCCAATGGCCAGACGATCAATTTCAGTTCTACCAATAGCTTTGCCAACAACGGGGCCAACCAGGGAAACAGTCACGGTGCAGCGGTGTCTGTGAGCCGCTAAGCTTTAGGTCAGATCAAGTCAGATCATTAAATTTTTCTGTGTGAAAATAAATATATATTGAAGAATTAAAAAGGATGTCTTAAAAACTAAATCATTTTTCTGGGAAAGGATAGGGGCAAGAAAAAAGAAAATGAAAAATGGACTCCAACAGAGAAAGGATTTTTCCCATCACAGGAAGCCGTCACATGTCCCGATCGGCCCACATAGCAAATAGGAGAAAGCAGCAACAGAAAACTGGCTTGTTGTACAACAAAAATACAATGGTTGTACAACAATATTTGCTTTTGTTTTAGTTGTAAATTAAACGTTTTTTTGTTATGGGGTGCAACCTTTGTTTCTTTTCAAAAAGTATACTCTGGCGCCCTCATTTTGTCAGCGATTAGTTCTCGAACTAACCAAATTTAGTTCCATAAGTGGCTGTCAATGTAGGTCGAAAACAGAGGCGCCACTGTGCATGATGTCAAGTTCCATCAAAGTAACGAAAAAATGTCTGCATACTTTTAATGGTAAACCATGGCATACTTTTGGGGGTCATCAACAAAATTTTAAGATTCAAACGCAAAAGTATGCTATGGTTTAACATTAAAAGTATGCGATATTTTTTTCGTAAATTTGATGGAACTTGAAATCATGCACAGTGGCGCCGCTGTTTTCGACCTACATTGACGGCCACTGATAGAACTAAATTTGGTTAGTTCGAGAATTTTCCCCTGACAACATGAGGGCGCCACCGTATAATTTTTGAATTGGCTTTATTGGCGCTAAATTCAAATGTGCGAATTGTGTCGTAAATCAACTCATGGTAACTCTGCCAATTATTGTCTGATCAGGACGAGCCACGACTCCTTTTTAATTCGTAAAAACTTGGCCTTTAATTGATTGACAAAATGGTTACATATTATTGTATTTATGGTGCATCGATATTTTTCCTTAAGCATAACTTAACCTGCGCCCTAATCCGACTCGCTCTCACTCTCCGATTGGAAGTCGCCCACCTCGATGGAGAACGTGTACTCCTGATCGCAGCCCAAGTAGGAGTCGCTCATGTAGTACAGGGTATAGTCGTGCTTGCCCGGACTGGGGGCCACAAAGTCCAGCTTGACCTTGGCCTTCTGCTGGAGCGTGAGGCGTTTGATGGAGAGCAGCGAATTGGTCTTTGGATCACCAATAACAACCCACCAGCCCTCTTCGCGCTTCTGTGGGAAGAAGGGCGCAATGACGGGTCCAGTGACCTCATCTTCGCGCTCCAGCTGAACCACCACATTGATGGTGGATCCCGAATTGATGCGATCCTTGTCGACCACTTCATAGTTGAGCTCAATGTTGGGATAACGATTGCAGAATCGTGCCACATCGGCCATCTGTGTGTCGGAGAGCTGCAGCAGACGCGTACGATCCTCATCCTCCAGCTCCATGATGTCGAAGACGGTTTCGATTTTCTATAAAAAACACAAGAGAATGGGTAAGGGGCCGGGAATATTGAGACATGCTTCTTAATTATACCTTTTCAGTGCATCTCTTGACAATATCTGCACTGAAGTACGGCAATTGCCGCAAATACGAATCCTTGGTCCACATGGCCTGGGTGACCATCTGTGCCAGTTCCATGGCAGCCACAGCAGGCGACAGCCAACCGTTTGAGCTCAAAACATCCACACAGGCCTGTATCAGACGAATCGCACGGCTCAGGATCTGTTCCGTATCGCCCTGCAGTTCGGGTCCCAGCTGCAGTCGGGAAAGATGTGCCTGGAGCAGCAAATTAGTCTTGATATGCGGATCATTGAATCTGAGGCGGAGAGGGGAGATATGTTAGGCAACAAAACAGAGATGAGGGGGAGGATTGTAACTCACTTGGGTGCCGTCTCATTGGGACCGGTCAGCTTGTTGGGCAGTCGCTGGGAGAGGGTACGCAGAACCTGCTCTTCGTGATGCCTGACCACCACATCCTCGTACTCCGCTGCCGATGAGATGATCTCCAGCAGGCCACGCACCTTAGTCTTGCTGTTCAGCGACAAACTGAAGAGTTCTGTGGGCAGAAAGACATTTTAGGTACAATTCCCTGATGGGTTTTCTCCACTTACCAATTGTCGTATAGTTGATGTAATAATAGGCCGCAATCATGCCCAGATTGAGCGGCAGGGTATCCATATCATCCTCCACGCTGATGCACTTGGATTGCTCCAAATCGCTGAGCGTATTCTCCACCAACTCCGACAGATGATCGGACAGATGGCGATGTGTGACACCCTGAAGGTTGTAGTAGTTGGGATTCTGCGTGAGTCGCCTGTAGAGGAATGTCCAGGTGAGGTAATCCACGGCATCCTGTTTGTTCTCAATCGTTTTGGTCACCACCTCGGCATTGAAGTGGTCGTGCATGCGATGATCCAGATGACTCTCGATGGGCAGCGGCTCGTTGATGAACTTCTTGAAGAAATCCTTCTTGCTGCTCTGACACATGAGCACACACTTGGCGTCTGCATCCTCGTTGGGCCGATTGGCGCGACCCACCATCTGCAGCACATCCGTGATGGGGTAGTCCTCGTACGAGTGATTCTTGCCATTGTAGAACTGCGTGTCCATGATGATGATAAGATGTGCGGAGATGCTCATGCCCCAGCAGAGATCACGCGAGACGACGGCCAGCTGCACGGCGCCTGAGTCGAAGAGTTGCTCCACCAGACGATGATCCGAAGAAGACAGGCCCTCGTGCAGGTAGGCCACACCCTGGGCCAGGGTCTCCTTCAGCGTCTTGTCCGTCATGCGCTCCAGGAAGGGTTTGATGTCCTCCTCCTCGGCGTGGAAGAAACGATTCGGTTGCAGATCGGAGGCAGCATACGTCAGTATGTCGATGGCCGTAAGACGCGCCTGCTTCCTGGAGGAGACAAACACAATCACCGGCTTGTGGGCACTGTACTTGAGGATGGCATTGTACACAGGCTTCGACATGGTCGCGATTCTCGTGGCATTGTGCGTCACATTGAAGCCCTGGATGTGCAGCTCCAGCGGAATGGGCCGCACGCTGGGATGGAAATTGAAGGTGGCATTCGGATTGCAGCCCAGCCACTGGGCCACGTCCCGGGCATCGGTCAGCGAGGCGGACAGGGCCACAATTCGGATCTGCTTCTCGATCTGCGAGCTTATGTAACGCATCCTGGAGCACACGATCTCCAGCACGGGTCCCTCTTCGCCGCCCACCAGCTGCAGCTCGTCGACAATGAACAGATTCACCAACTGGACATTCTTCCGCTGCTTCCAGCGACGCGACAGCACATCCCACTTGTCCGCCGTCGTAATCACCAACTGTCCCTTGGCAATCAGCTTTAGATCCGTTCCTGTTTCGCCCGTCAGCTTCACCACCTTGATGTCCAGTGCCCCGAACTTGAGGTGCCAGTCGGCAAAGACCAGATCAGCGAGCGCCTCCTCGGACACCAGGTAGACGCAGCGTGCCTCCGTCTGTGTGGTGAACAGTCGCATGATGGCAAACTCTGCGATTGTCATCTTGCCAGAGCCCGTTGGGGCACCCACAAATACATTCTCGTCGCTGTTGTAGACGGCATTGAAGACCTGCGTCTGGATTGGGTTGAACTGTGGGAAGCGCTGCGCGTAGAACGACTCGAACTTCGGCTGACGCAGCGCACTGATGGGCAGCGGTTGCAAATCCAACAGCTCCGTGGGCGGTAGGTTCTTCTCTGGCAGGATCAAGTGGCGGAACGAGACGGGCAGCTGTGTCTCGGCACCAATCCAGCGATCGGAGACGATGCGAAGGAAGTACTGCGGTGGCAGGGGCTCAAACACGGGCACAAAGAACTTCAGCTGATGCTCATCCTGTGCGTACTTTTGCTTCAACAAGAAGAATTCGTGGTGCAGGATCAGCTCCGAGTCAACGTCCTCGATGAGCACCCAGAAGCCCTCCGAGGCGCCGTGCACCTTCTCGTCCCACTGGAAGTCTGGGGTGATGGTCAGCTCTACGCGGAGAGTGCCACGAGTAATGGGCTGAATGTGCGTGGAGAGCTCCAGCTTGGGGAATTGATGCACAAACTTGTGTATGGTCTTGCCCAGCTTTGGCACGCGTATCAGTTCTCCCAGCTCGTGGGGCTCCAGGTCGTACAGCCGGGACCAGGGGAAGTGCTTCTTCTCCAGCTTCTTGGCTATTTCGTCGGGCATCTTCTTGAACTGGCGCAGCGGTGTCATCGATTGCCACATCCTCCGGTCAATCATCTTGCACAGCGTCAACGTTTTGTCCGCCAACTGGGCCCAGCCACGCGTGAGGACAATCTCGAAGATGGCACGCATGAGACGAGCAGCCGATTGGGTGATGAAGACCATGTCCGACATCAGGGCAAAGCCCTCCAGCTTCAGTTGGGAGATGTACGCCTGCAGCAAAACATTCACCTTGGCGCTGTGTTCCTCGATGGACTCCTTGATGGGTATGGGCACGCGTTCCATCAGCTTCTGCAGCTCCAACTTCTCCTCCTCGCGCACCGAAATGTGACGGAACTCCGAGGAGAGCGAGAACACGCGGAACAGTTCAATCTCGCTGAGTGTCTGCTTCAGCAGCTGGTTGTACGTGAGCATCGTCTCGTGCGTCAGATAATAGTGGGATGCAATGCGTGCGAGATCCGTGACTTGGAAGTGTCCCGTCTTGCGCTCGTACTTGACAAGACCGCTGCGCTCCAGGCAACAGGCGGCCGTGTGCAGCAGATCCGCTCGATGCTGCTCCAGCAGTGGATCCGCCTTGATGGCATCGTGCGAGACGCCATAGAGAGTGGGATTACGCAGCATGCGGATGTACAGGTACGTGTAGCCCAGCCAGTTGACGGCATCCTGCAGATGCTGCACTGTGCCCAGCACAATCTCTGCGTTGAGCATGTCCGGCAGCTTCGAGATGAACTGCGACTCTATGGGCAGCTGCTGGTTGAGCAGCGACAGGTAAAACTGCAGCTCACTGTGGTTCGTTATGAGGATGCCCTCGCCCTTGGTGTCGTACTGCGGTCTGCCGGCACGACCCAACATCTGGAGCACATCCAATGCGCTCAGTTCCACCCAGCGTCCCTTTTCGGGGTTGTATACTTGCGTTCCCTTGATGATGACCGTGTGGGCAGGCAGATTCACACCCCAGGCCAGTGTGGCCGTGGAGACCAGCACCTGGATGTGCCGATCCGCAAAGAGATCCTCCACCAGGGTACGATCAACGCGCGTCATACCGGCATGATGGATGGCAAAGCCGTAGGGCAGCAGCTCCTTCAGCTCCGAGTTCTTCACCTGCTCGGCCTCCGTGCGTAGCACCTCCATGCTGGCCGAACCCTCGCGGAGGAAGCTGCCGAGGGTGTCCTGCTCCAGGCACATGTCCCTCACCGCTCGTGCCGTCTTGCCCGTCTCCTTGCGGGAGTGGACAAAGACCAAGACTTGATTCCGTCCCGCATGCTCCATCGTCTTCTCGTAGACGATCTCGTTCATCACCTGGAAGCGCTTCAGCGCCTTCTTCTCCGTCACACCAATGTACTGCTGCTCGAGGGACACGGGCCGGTAGCTGTTGTCGAAGTAGAAGAGACCCTTGTCGGGCTTCACGCGCAGGAACGTGGCCACATCCTGGTAGTTGGGCAGCGTGGCGGATAGTCCCACCAGTCGCACATCCTCCTGTGTTGTCTCAATGTTCCGAATTGTACGGGCCACCAATGCCTCCAGCACCGGACCACGCTCATCGTGCAGCAAATGAATCTCATCGATGATGACCAGTCGCACGAGACTCACAAACGTTCGCTCTCCCCCCTTCCGGGTGATGATGTCCCACTTCTCTGGCGTGCAAACAATCACCTGGGTGGCGGCTATCTGCTCTCTGGTCAGCTGATGGTCGCCCGTCAGCTCGGACACGACCAGATTGTAGCACGCGAGACGTCGTCCAAAGTTTCCGACCATTTCCTGCACCAGCGACTTCATTGGCGCCACGTAAATGATCTTAAAGTCCTGCGTGTTGATGGTGCCATCCTCGTTGATGTGCTTGCCGATCTCCCGCATCATTGTGAGCAGCGCCACATTCGTCTTACCCGCTCCGGTGGGGGCGCACAGCAGCATATTCTCGTCGCTGTCCAGGGCGGCCTTGTACAGGCGACTCTGGATACGATTCAGCGTCTTGAAGCCCTCGAAGACGGGCTGACAGTACTTGGGCAGCTTGTCGATGGGCTGCAGCTCCTCGTTGTCGTCGAAGGGCACAGCCTTGAGGGCCGGCACATGCACTTCCTCGTAGCCCTTGCGCTGCTTCCTGTAGGAGCCGTCGGGCAGCTGGCAGCGTTTATTCGCCATGAAATGGGAGCCATGGGTGAAGGCCAGCTCATCCAGCTCCAGCAGTTGCCGCACGCCAGCCACTTGACCGGCCGCCGCTGGGCCACCATCTTCCGCGTCGCCCTTGCCACGCTTACCGGCACGCGTCTCGCCCTCCTCCTGCTCCTCCGACTTACCCGTGTCCAGCTGACGCAGGATCTTCGCAAGTGCCGTGTTGCCGCGCATCTTTTCGCGTATTCGCTGCCGCTCGCTGTCCGTCTGGGCCGAGGCCAGCATGGTGCAGTAGAGGATCATCTGACGGTTCAGCTTCAGCTGCTTGATGAAGTCAAAGCAATCGTAGCCCAGCAGCAGCACCAACTGGTTCTCGCAGTCACGCTCATCGGCGGCATCCTTAAGAATCTTGAGCACATCCGCCGCCTTGCTCTGCGACACCATGGCATCCTTGTAGAACTTGCTCAGGCAACGCTGCAGCCAGTAGGCATCGATGTCCAGCGGATGCAGAATGCGATCTTTCTTCACATTGCTGGCAGCCTCCTCATTGGCCAGCTGTGGAGCAAGGAAGTTTTTCATCAACATCAATTCAAAGTCTCTGCTAGATATACTCACATTTTCTGCGTGCAGGGTGTGATCAATGCGCGCCTCCTCGCCCTCATCGGGCACATCATCGTCGCGTATCTCGCCGTACATGTCGTTGTCGCTCTCCTCCTCGGACTCCTCGAACTGCACATTGATGCCGTACTGCTCGTCAATCTGCTCCTCAGTGTTGGTGGTGGCTGTCAGGGCGTTAATGGCATCGCTGCCAAAGTCTGTGATCTTCTTGCCCAGATTCACCAGCAACGCGAATCTTTCGTCTGTCACAGCGCCCAGCAGGCTGTCCGTTTCCCGCTTGCGCTCGCGATCCTTTAACCGATCATTCTTCAGCACAGCCAAGATCTCATCGGCCGCACCACACAGGATGTCCCTGGGCTGATCGCCCAAGGCCTCCTGGATGAAGCTCAGCAGCACCTCGTAGGTCTGACGCGTCTCCTGGGTCTTTGGGCGGTACACAATGCCGACCATCTCGTCAATGCCCTCGGACAGCAGAGTGGCACCCTTCATGCGCTCGAAATCGTACTGGGCCTCGTCACGCTTCTGCCGTTTCACCTTCCGCTCCTCTGTCTTTTCCGGCTTGGTGCGTTGGTACCGGTCACCCATCCGCGTGCCATCCAACTTTCCCACCAGGGAGCACACTTCGCCAGTGGCCTCATCCCGACGTGGACGCTCGATGAGTCGTACATCGGCTTGCAGCACAAGATTAGAGTTCTGAAAACACACACCAAAAATACATTTATGAAATGTTTGCAAAATGTTCATACAAACTTTTGCCACAGGCACAGAAGACGCCGCATGGAGGTGTGAAAATTTGGTACTCCGTTCGTTTGGTACTTACCGCCTTGTACTCGTACTGCAATTGACGTGCAGCGGCATCCGCCATGACTGTTTATCGTTTCACTTAGGTTTTTATTGCTTAATTTAAGTCTAATTAACCTATTTTAGTTGTTTTTTCCGAAAATCGTGAAATATGCCGCTTTCAGTGTGACCGGTGTTATCGATAAAATTTACCGTCAGACCCGCAAAAATATACCAAAATAGTTTAAAATATACCGTATCTTTAATCATATTCTTAGATTTTGATCTTCTATTTGATATTACTACCTTGCAAAGACTTTTAACACTAAAACATTAATATAATCCGATTGAAGAATCAATTCGACTTATTATAATTAATCCTTCTTATTGGATGGTACCTTAGGACCTTATATTTTACAAATCTTTTTTTGCATTTTTCAAGACAAGGGAGCTGTTTGTTCAGTATGTAAATTAATAACAGAGACACAGATTTCATCGTCTCTATCGATATTTGCCGGTGTTTATCATTTTTGAAAAAATAACAATAGAATTTCATATCTTTTTACACAAATGAGAAATCTCACAATCTTTATAAACAGAATTAACGGATTTGCATTAAAATGGAATGCCATTTGGATAGAAGACTGGCCATTCGGGGCTTCATATAACATTAAATATCACTTGCATTGCTCCTGTAAATCAGGAAAGAAAAATTAAGATCAATTGAAATGCTTTCTTTATTTTAACTGCATTTTGATATAGTTTTTATGTACAAACTTTGGTGACTTATTTCCTAGCAACTTGATTCATATTCATATATGTATATAGCATATATAATTCATTCAAATCCACGATCTTTACACACAAACAAACGCTCGGAAACGAATCGATGTCGCTGTGGACGCTATGTTAAGCTAATTATCCATACATATAACGCTTTGGCCGAACTAATTAAATCGATCTCAAAACGATTTGATTGCATTACTCTTACACTAAACTAGTTGCATCCCACTTTTTGTTTGTTGTTTTGTTTGTATGTATAATATAATATAATATATGTAGGTAGATCTAACGCTTATTGTACATATATACATATGTGTGTGTCCTTAGGCTACGACAAATTGCTTTTGCTTTTGCGTTTGCTGTGGTGTTCCTTCATATCGTTTCTTTATATATGTAAAAAAAAAGAACTCTTTGCCAAACACAACAGCATCCACTTGATTGATCAGGTTTTGTTTTGTTTCTTACACATTTATACACCTTTTTTATTGCAACATCTTCTTGGAGTTTTGGTTTTACGTTTGTGTCTGTCTGTGTTCATTCTAAGGCAACTGGTTTAAAGGCAACTTTAATATAAATTGTTACTTCGTTTATACTAAAATGTACACTACACCATGATCTCTGTGTATCATCTTTTTAACTTTACTCTTTTATTTAATCGACTCTATAGCAAATTTACAAAAGTTCGATATGTGAGTTGGTATTTTGTTTATGTTTCAGCGGAGGGTTTTGTGTGTGTGGGCGGTGTGAAAGTTCAAGCTTGGATGTTAAAATCAATGTACAAACAAATAAACAATACAAAAATACAAAAAAAGTTAAAAAAAAACAGTCTTTAATAACGAATTAAACGCTCTCTGAGTATCCGGGCTTCGACCCAAGCAACCGGAAGTACAATTTTCTTGTTCTACTGTAGATTTTATTTGCCATTCAACGATGACTCTTTTAAGATGATGAACTAAATATAACAAACAATTTCAATAAAATGAACATTCACAGAGCCTATTAACAAAAACAAAAACAGCCAAAAAGCTGTTAAAGCTATAAAAAGGTGACCACTCAGTTTTGCACACGCTTTAATTCGATAGCACCGATTTCGTGGACGAAGTCGCAGTCTCCATCCGTTCGCTGAAATTAGTATTGCAAGGAAATATTAGATTTTTTAGGGTGCAAAGCGTTGCCAAATCCACCTGGAGTAGGCACAAGTAACCCCTCCTGAATATCACTGGCAACTACATTCGAGCAAATGCCGTATCCATGGATTGGTGTCGAAACAAACAAAAGATAATGATGATATGGTGTGGTGGTGTAGAAATCAGTATCTGAATGAGGAATATGTTTAACGAAACTAGAAGCAAAACTTAAAGAAACTTTAGCAGGTAGATATATGTGGTTACAGCATGAGAGGTCGTTGGATGATGTCTGTGTGGCGTGGTGTGGTGTGGTGTCTCTTTATCAATGTTTGTTGAGCTTAACTAATAACTATATAACTGATAAATGATTTTAGTGATTGTTACATTCTCTGGTATCGTATCTAAATGGATCTTAGGATCGCCGCTTGAACAAGAAGCGGACTAGCGTACGATTCCCGATTTATTATTGAATTTGTAATTACAATTAGGCTATTTAAAAATTAACTAGCACAACATATCGCATATAGAATATATATTTTATAAGAATTGTTGCCCGGTTTACTTTTAACTCTCATCTCATATCCTCTTGCTACCATTTGTGACGGGGTCGTGAGCCATTTTCCGCACAGATGGTTGGCAAAGAGGTGTCCCAACTTATGTCCAAAGGTTTTATATTATCTATTATAGTATATAACAAAACTTGAAAGGATCTTTGGTGCTCCTTGCGGATCCTTCGACTCTTGCTTTCAGTGTTAGTCTGTATGTTGGTGTGTGTGTGTATCTCTTTGTGGGTAGTTGTGTGGCAGTTAGACAGTTACTACACGCTGCGGCCTAGCCCTAGTTGTCCTCTTTGTTGTCCTGCCACCATCTGTCCGCATCTGTCGTCAGCTGCCCAGTTGCCTTCTGGAGCCAGACGCCCACTGCATGGTCGCCGCCAGCACCGCTTGCAGTTGGCGCTCCTCCCCACCCGCGTCCGCGTCCGCATTTGTTCCATCCTCATCGTCATCCAGCACCTCCACGACACTACCCGTCGCCGCTCCTTTGCCGAACCATCGACCGACGGCGCGACGTCATTCGAACACGTACCGCTGGCGCAGGGCACGCGCTCTTTCTGGTTGGACGCGCGTTGGTGGTCGCGGCACCTTGAGCGGCCGCAGCTGCTGCTTACGCGCTTTTGGTCGAGGATATATCTGAGGCAAATTTACTACATCCTCGTCAGTGATCTCGACTTTAATATGCGGTAAGCAGTATACTTGGCGTTGTACCTTAAAGCGCTTTAGAATCTTCTGTGCATTACTGAGGACGAGGCAGAAGTGTCGCCAGCTGGCCCGCGATTTTCGCCACGAAGCTTGCGTCTTTGAAAAGCCAACGAGATTCTCACTGTCAGGTTTCGAGCGGCCCATTTGGCTGGATTTCGTGGCGGGCAATGTGCGTGCGATTCGTTTTGCTATTGATGTCGTGGTGGTGCTGGTTGTGAGCGGTACCTCTTCTGCAGGTGGCGGCAGTTGTTGCATCAGCAGGTAGAGACCGACCTTGCTGTCCTCCGCATCTGTGGTAGATTCATTCATTGCTACAACAGGCGGAAGTACATTGGTCTCGGTTTGCCTTTGCTGGCGTGTTCTTGGCCGTCTGTTTGTTAACTCTTCGGCCTCTGTTTTTGGAGTAAGCGCAACTGGAGCAACAGCAACTGGATCAAGCGGCGGTGGCGGCAACATTGCGTGGGACGTCTCCTCCACGATCACGGGCAGTGGCAGCTCCCCAAAATATTGGGAGGGCAGTTTAAGGGGCGGCAGATTCTCATGGAAGCCCAAGAAATCGCTTTCAGAGTGGATTTCAATGCGTTCCCTAAAGTCTTCGTCCTCGGACAGAGGCGGTGATGCTGCGGGGCGAATCAAGAACGACTCGCCCGACGATGCTGGAAGGTGGAGCAAGTTGATGGTGTCGATATCGTCCTTTGCCGCATTAGCGGGTAACATACCTGTTGTCGACTTTTTCAAGCTATCGTCGTCTTTTTTAACCACCTCCTTCTCCTTCTCATGCACCTCTTTATGCTCCTCCTTGTCTTCCACCTTTTGCTCCTCCTGTTCTTCAGGCAGGGGTGGCGGTGGCACAATAATTGCAACGTCCAAGTCACCAGACTGAACCCAGTTGCTCGCCAATATATCATCAAGTTGCGGACGGTTGGCGGGATCGCGCTGCATGCACCACTCTACCAGCCTGCGGAATTCCGGGCTGGCACTTAGCCAGAGCTTGGCCTCATGATTGAATGTCTCGGTCTGCATGCGTCTACGCAACTGATGATGGATATCCGGAGAGTGTTCCTTGTCCTCCTGGTCCTGGCGATAGGGCGGATGGCCCACCAGCATCGTGTACAGTGTCGCGCCAAGCCCGTAGACATCGACGGCCGGCGTATACGTGACCATATTGGGATCCTTGAGCATCTCCGGCGGTGCATAGTCCAGAGTGTAACGCGGCTTGTCCTGCCAGCTCGTGAAGCTGCTGCTGTAACTGTGGACACCAGAGAAGTAACGATAATGCGATGAGAATAAATAAAGGCAAGGTGCAATAGAGAGAGAGAGAGAGAGACACCCACCAGGCACTGCCAAAGTCCACCAGCTTCACCACCATATCATCACGACTCTCAAACACAATGTTCTCGGGCTTCAAGTCACCGTGGATGAACTTCTTCGAGTGGATGTGTCGCACTGCTTCCAGAATCTGTCGGAAGAGATCTCGGCAGGTTCGCTCATTCAGGGCATTGCGTTTAATGGGTGCGGAAAGCTCCTCGCCAACAAGGAACTCCGTGAGGATCCATGTGTCGCATTTGTCCCGGAACGTGCCCAGATATTGGACAATGTTCTGGTGGCCTTCATCATCCATGGCACAGGAGGTCAGGGCATCCACCTCGGATGCACGAAACTTTGAGAGTGGAACAACCTTGACCATGAATATCATATCGTTGGTGCTGTCCACGGCAAAGTAGCAGGTACCGTAGGATCCGCCCGCAGTGCGACTGCCAAGATCGAGGTCCTGCGGTCTTGATGGCATATTCTGATGGTGATAGAGAGACAGGAGATTAACATAAGTTTGGAAGTGGCAGAGAGACTTTTCACTGACCAGTAATCCTTTATTGCAATACTCAATGTGGCAGTTGCTGTCCCTGCGCATCTGTTCCAAATGCTCGGGCGCCACATAGGTGTATCCCCGAAAAAGGCGAATGCGACTTGGGGGTGCTTCGCATTCTACGTCCTCTGGCCGCTGTTCGGTGAACTCGCTGCTGAAGTTCT